GAACTGTTTTTCTTCAGTTTTGCTCGCTACGAACTGCAACGGCTAGCTCAGAGAGCTTGCGTGTTCGTCCCACCAAATTTATGATTTGTGTGATTGCCCGACCAAAGAGAAAACAGAGTTTAGGTTGTAATAGCTTTATTGCAGATTTCCTCAATGACAGATTCCTGGTTCTCGCCGTTCTTCTGCGCGGTGTCGCTCTCCCGTTGTCCTTCCCTTGCGTCTGTCGCGCGTTCGCGCCGGGTCTGCGCCCGTACTCTGCCCGATTATCCTCTTGCACGTATGACTCAAGCGTGTTCAGCTGACTGTCTCCGTGTACGTACGGCTCTTCGCGTGGTCAAACTGACTGACCGTGATTGTACTCGTGCACCAGCGGCTCTTCGCGTGATTGAATTGACTCTCCGTGCTTGTACTCGTCACCTGCGGCTCTTCGCGTGATTGAATTGACTGTCCCGAGCTGCGCTTGTGCAGTCCTTTTTATAGGCCGGGGAAATCCTGTTATTTCCCCTTTTTGCACACGGCCCGCTCGGTACACGGTCCAACCCAGGTTCCGTTAGTTCACGGTGCGTCCTCTCTGTGCTTGTCCCAAGTCCGCACCGTTACCGTTCGACCTCTGTGCCCTTGGCCGGCTGGAGTCCAAGGTCCAGCGCGGTACCGTTAGTTCACGGTCTCTCTGCTTTGCTCGGGTCCAAGGTCCATTATTTCCCGTTCGACCTGGTTGCCCTTGACTCCTTCTGCATCCCAGCCTTCTTCTCTGTTGTTAGGCAGCTCTCCTGCACCTTGATTTGTGGGGAGTTTTAAGACTCCTCACACCTTTGTTCTGTAGGCGATATTGCACTTCAGGCCAAAACATTTGTTTATTATTTATTATTAGATTTTGTTTAAATTCACTGCACAAGAGAGAGAGAGCAGTTAATGATGCGGCTGCAGCCTTACATTATAATAGGCATAGAAATACCATTGTTTAGTATTAAGAATCTACGGAATTCGATTTTGCTGTTAAAAAATTATAAGGAGTTGGCTGCTGTCGATCAATCAATTTTATGCAACAAATTATTATGTTTCTTTGATACATATATTTAAAAAAATATATAATTAATAATTAATTCATATTTAAAAATTAATATTTATAAATTAAATACAAATATGAAACCTGTTTATTGCAAAATTGAGTTTTGAACCACGACGTGCGGACACAAGTATCTAAGAATCACGCCTTTCAAAAATTTTTTTACGTCGCAAGCTTTATACTTTAACGACAATTATTAAGTATAAAGTAATTTTTAAAATTTTAATATTCACCTATTACTATTTCTATGCTGTATTCCAATAATTTAATGTTAGGGCACTGCAAAATTCGATTTTTTTACATGGTGGCAATCGATCAAAATTAATATAGATTTAAAGTCGGTAAACTTATGAAGTGAAGGTATATTTTGTTTGGTCGACTGTCGCTGTATGCGTACAAGGGAGCTGCTGGCTCTAGAGCACTCTCTTTAACAAGCTCTCAGCTCTAGAGCCAGCACAAAAAAATTGTATGGCGTTACGCAACTTGTTATTTTAATGTCTTTGGTTCTACCAATTATATTCATTATTTATTATACGGTATTAATCTGCAGTGCGCCCTTGATATCTGCACCTAATACTATAGGTCGTTGAAGCGTCTTTTGATGCGCGCGACGATACCATGATGCAATGCCTCAGCTTCCGAACCGACGAGGGTGGTTCCAACTAAGCAACGGCTGCTACCTTTTCTCATCTCGTGACTTATAACGCAGGTACAACAGTTCTTGCTTAACAAATTGACATTTTGTTGGGTTTATCTTTAGGTTTGTCTCCTTTGTGCGTCCAAGCACTTCTCTGAGGTTTCCTTATATTCATCTATGGTGCTTCCAATTACAATAATATCATTTTGGTACGCATAGGCATGTGGTGACATTTTCGGTTCAAATCCGGCCGATGCGGAGTGGAATCAAAACGGTATCGACCTAGTTTGTCTGCTGCTTCCAACTCTGCCCAGATTTCCGAGAGGTCTTGATCATTTTAGGTTTCGGCGAATTGGTCAGTTCGCTACGTAGTATGTGCGGCTAGCTACATTTTATTTGTTTCCAGTAACAACACTCTGTAGTTATACCCGTTACTCGAAAAGTGAAAGGGTATACTAGATTCGTTAAAAAGTATGTAACAGGCAGAAGGTAACGATTTCGACCATGTAAAGTATATACATCCTTAATCAGGATTAATAGCCGAGTCGAGCTGGCAATGTCCGTCTTTCCGTCCTTCTGTCCGTCTATCCGTATGAACGCCTCGATCTCAGGAACTACAAAAGCTAGAATGTTGAGATTAAGCACGCAGCTTTCAAATCTTGCAACGCATCAGCGCAATCTTGTTTCCAAATGTTGCCACGCCCTAAACGCCCACAAACCGCACAAAACTGTCACGGCTACACTTTTAAAAAATGTGATATTTTTTTATTTTTAAATATATATTATAAATTTCAATAGATCTGTAAAAAACGTCCCACTCCATCGCCCACAAAACGCCCAAGACTTCGCGCCCACACTTTTGAAAAATGTGATATTTTTTCAGTTTATTATTTATCATTTATCTTGTAAATTTCTATAGATTTTCCAAAATAATTTTTGCAACGCCAACTCTAACGCACAAAAGTCTCACGACACACTTTAAAACATTTTTAAGTCTTTTAAGTTTTTTTTTTCATTTTATTATTTTTTCCCCAATTTCTACCTATGTATATTCCAGAAAATTTTGAAATTTCTCGTTAGCACTTCCACTAGTTGAGTTACTGCTATCTGACAGTCGGGGAACTAGACTAAGCATTCTATCTTGTTTTATTATAATATATATTATATTCTCGGTCCAATGTGAAACCTACAACGAACTATATCAATATCCTTTAAGTGCTAATACGATACAGTTTCGTATAAAGTTCTTGTAACATTCATTCATTTATAATATTCATTAGTTCATTAATATATTTATGTAAACCAATTACATAAAAAAAAAATACAAATTCAATTCACTACAAAAATTCCATAGTGACACAGAACGTAGGGCGATATTATATTTAAAGATCTTTAACCAACCTTGTCTAAGATTAAAGCAGGCGCAATTTGGAGTATCTGTTTTATAAAGTTATTCATAACAACGAAAGAAATTTCTAGGGTTTCCTTATTAAATTTACTACTATTTTATTGATGTAAGAAAAAATTTAAATTATCCCAATTCTATCCATAATTTTATAGCTTATAAAAAAAATATTTAAAAAAAAACAATTAAATTGTGGCGTAAACTGTAACATCTGGAAGCCGAATGACTGGACGCAATTAGTTGTTGAATATGCAACAACGCATATTCGCGTCATATGGTAACTCAATTGCTAATTTTTTACTGTTGGATTATCTTTTATGTGAAATCTAGATAACAAAAAGAGGAAAGCGTTTAAGATCTTACAGGGTATATACATTCATGATCAGGATCTCCGGAAACTATAAAAGCTAGGAAGTTGCGAGTACGCAGATTTTTCTGAAGAGGCAAACACAATTTTCTTTCAGAAGATTGCCCCTCTCACTCTAGCATATGTTTATTTGTCTTGTTTTATAATTAGATTGGCCAATTTCTATTTATATGTTTAAACCTGCGACACCCACACAATGTTTTAAAATTTTTTTATATTTGTCTTGCCAATTCCTATCGTTGCTTACTATGTTTTGTTATACACCAGTTTACTAACAATATACATTTATTTTTTTTTATTTATTATGCCCGTTACTTCGAGAACTCAGGAACTACAAAAGCTAAGATTAGGCATGCAGATTCCAGAGTCATAGACGCAGCTCAAGTTGGTTCACTGACGTTACCACGACCACTGTAACGCCCACAAGCAGCCCAAATCTGTCACGACCAAACTTTTGAAAAATATTGAGATAAATTTTAATTTTTTTATTAGTCTTGTAAATTTTTAAGGATCAGCAAAAAAACGTTTTACCACGCCCAAAAACCGACCACAAATGCCACGCCCACACTTTTGAAAAATGTATTGTAAATTTTAATTTTTTTTGTTATTTTGGAAAATTTCTATTGATTTGCCAAAGAAGTTTTTGCCATGCCCACTCTAACGCCCACAAACCGCACAAAACGCGCCCAATTTTAAAAATGTTGTTGTTTATTTTATTCCCCTTTTCTCCAATTATTACAGATATTCCAGATAATGTTTAAATTTCTCGTTCGCACTTCCGCTGAGTAACGGATATCTGATAGTCGGGGAACTCGACTATTGCATTCTCTCTTGTTTTGGTTTAAATTTGATAAACATCGGGCCACTATATCAATTATGTATTTGAAAATACTACAAAGCAAATTAAAGCTTCGTTGTATTTGATAATAAATGGTTTTTACTATTAAAATATAATTACAGCTCTTTTTTCTAAAACATTTTAAACGGATTATTATTATTTCATGCATATTTTCAACAAAAATAATCATATATTCATCTTCACCACGCTAGTGAGCCCAGCTTTAATAATACATATTTACACTTTCGTTACCATTTCTCCTGTAGCATTTTATTTTTTAGTTTCGGCAATTCTTTTCAATTGATGTAATATCTTTTGTAGAATTTTCTATTGTTTATTGTAGTAATAATAGCTTGTGCAAATATACTAAAACGTATTTATGTGCTGACATACATAGTTGGAAACGGAGTTAACTTTTTTCAGGTGCCGTATACATACATATGTATATAAGCATTTAATAAGTCGATAAAAGTAAAAGCTACATGCAAAAATCCCAACACAGCACTTCAGTATTAATTTATTTGAGATCTATTTGTCTGAACCTTAAAACATTCCCTTCATTTTTTAAAGCAACAACAATACAATAAAGATCCGTTATATTTTGTTTCATTTTCTTTTTCTATGCTTTGGTAAAGCTTTTGTGAGATTGCGGTAGCTCTAGACTCGACCAACTTGCTCTGAGATCGTGATCAAGTTGGCTGCTGCAATTTCTTGCGCTCTCTGAGCCATGTCATGATTCACTGAGCCATTCCTTTCCCTGGCTCATTCGTAAGCTCGTTTTGCAGTGACTACTTAAACATTTTATATAGTCGTACGTATGTAGCTACCGCTTCAGTTTGGTGTTTAAACGCGTTGCTCGTACTTCATTAAGCTGTAATCAGTTCAGGTGGTGTTGCTATCGCTTAGTACACATACTTTGAAAAGAAAATATAGTCTTATGTTGTGAACGTCACCCAAAAAGAATATTTGAATACCTTACAATATTTCGAGCCAAAAAGGAGTTTAACAAATTAAAACAAGAATTGTGAAAAGTCCAAGTATATGCCATTCATACGACTTTGAAAGCCATGGATCTTACAGGATTTTACCAAACTTTTATTTCGTTCCTGATCTTGTGTGCATTTTTCAATTTTCCTGAAGTATTTGCAGTACGTGTTGCCAACTCACAGCAAAATCAACCTAAGAAAGGTAAGAAAATCCCAGGCTCATCAGCTCATACTAAGTTTTACACTAAACTTTACGTCTTGGAATATTATGTTGTGATTTGCCAACTGTACAATAAATACTTAATCACTACTATATTTCGAAGGTCTGTACCTAGGAATTTGTACTATAGATCTTTTGGTTAAATTTGCCAAAAATGAATTAGAAAAACTTGCAGGACAAAACGTTGGTTTGCTACACTTCCGTTTCCGTAAGAAAACATATACGAATTATATGTTTATCAGTTTTCCATATTCAGGCGTCCATGCTTGCATAAGTTTTAAATATAATTGACTTTATTCAAAAATGACTAAAGAATGCTGTAACTTTTCACAGATTAAAAATATGTAGTAATTGTGGTTCAAGTCACACCAAAACTTAAATACCATATTTTTTAATTACCCATTAAGAAATGGAAAAGTAAAATAATACGCATTACAATCGTAGTAAAAAAGGTCGCACCAGGAAAGTAGTCAAACGCATAGAAACACACGAAAACTTAAAATTTTGCCATGATGGTGCGATCAGTGAGTGATTCTTGAAGCGAAAGGTATTACTAAAACTGAAGGGCATGAATATAAAAACTTAGGAAAAATTAAATGGTTTAGGAAAAAGAGCAGTGAAGGTGAATTCATTTAGAAAACTACCGATGTTGGATCCAGTGTAGATCGATAAATGTACTTTCTAAAATTTTCCCATTCGCCACGCTGGAAAAAAAGTGGCTATGTTGCCTACACATTAGGTAAAATATGCTAATGAAAAGGGCCATCTGAGAAAAGTTTAGCAACAGTATTAAACATATTTATATATCAGAAAAATTATATTTTTGGTGTGTTAAATTAAATTAACTTTAACTTATAAAAAATCCCACTCTGTATTAAAAAACAATTTGTGGTCTTAAAAAAGGTCTTATACGAAAACGTTTTTTTCTCGGAAGTACTAGCTACATTACTGATACATATACCAAAAACGTATACCAAAAATTATCACTTGTATCTTAATACATTTTTGGTACTCCTTTTCCCTATCGCTTACTTTGCGCAATAAAGTTATAGTTTTTTATTTTTGAATTGCTGAATCGCCGACCTTGTTAGCTGCTGCTACAAATTTTATTTTTGAAAATACGTACAATTCAACAAGCTATTAATTCGTTGAAACCACTGATTTTTACCAGCTTTATTGGACGTTTTTAAGAAAACTCTTTAAGATTATAGTAAATTTTTAAAACTTTTTAGGTTTTGAAAATAGTTTCTAAGATCTAACCTAGAGAATATAGCAATGACAAGAAAGGAAGATATACAACATTGACAATGGTACAACCAAAGACTAATATTCTAATCTTTTGATACACTTTCTTAAAACATTATATTGGCCTGAGAAAATATCGTTATAAGTCACTTTTGAGACATTAGATGTATACTAGTGATTTGGAAACGATTGGCTTGGAAATCGTCCTTGAGCTGAGCTTGAGCGTTATTTATGAATTTTTTAACTGAATTTTGAACTTTGAAGTAGTCTTAAAAATGGATTAATGTTACTTTTGAACAAAATAGTGCAGAAGACTAGTATTTAAATCGTGTTGTTTTTTACATTTTTTTTATCATTCATGAAAAAAAAAAAACATTTTACTCAATAATACCTTTTTCTATTGTTTTATATCATATTTTTAGAACTAATTGTAATGTTTATAAGTTAATTACTGGTCGAGATAACAGTTAAAAAAAAATGATACCGAGAAAAAACAATTGAAAAAGAGGCTTTTGGCAACCATCCAGGAAACTATTTACTAGCTGTACTAAAGATTTATGTAATGAAAAAAAATTGTTCTATCCAACTTTTTTTTAGTTGCCGCTCCAATATTAATGGTAATCCTTTAAAATGTCCAAAGTTAAGCCTGTGGGAGGTGATCAAATTCTTTCGACCAATTGTAGGTGTATGATAGAAATTTTAATAGTTAACAATTGATTGCAATAAGCAAAGGTCAAAGAGTTTGTGAATTTTGCTTGAAGTTGGGTTTCTTATTTTTAGTGATGCACGAAAAGGGTGTTCATCGGCCATATCAGTACAAACAAGATCATTTAAACGATTGATTATTACATATTCCAGCCTTAAGCTACGTTATTAAAAAACGCATTTCATATATGTATGTACATATGTACTTAAAATACATGCACCTCATGTTAAAATAAATATATTAATATTAATGCCGCTGTTGTTACCTAATATAAATTATTTTCCTGGGACTTATAATATCTGTCTTTGTCCTGTAAAGAACTTAGTATCTGACGAAAATTCACCGAGCTGGTTGGTCGAGGGTTTAAATTTCTTAGTATGTATGTATGTTTTCGATTATCCAAGTTACCTTGACGAAGTTACCGCCATTCATTTGCGTCCCGCTCTATCTCACAGCTGACGAATGGACTTGTCGGTGTACACGTGTTGAATTAAACACAGTTTAGTTTAGAAGCAATTATTTCAGAAATAATTACGTAATATATGTTATCGTCAGATTTAACTCTTCCCCAGCAGGGGGTGCAATTTTTGCATTTTTGCATATGGACAGATTAATGGGTATCTGATAGTCGATGCACTCGATTTCGTATCATTCATGAACATATTAGATTTGAGTATGTACATACATACTACTAGAACTTAGTATCTTCCTTACTTAACATTTTTCTAAGTGGTTCTTAGTTAATAAATACAAATGTCTTATTTGAAATAAATGCAAAAGCAAAATACATATTTATTAGACTTAAACCGGTCTGCAAGGGGTATAAAATGGTACAGCTTTAAAGTATAACTGATTCAAGGTGACTTTAAACTGAAAATTCGTATAAGTATGTATGTACATCAAAACATATTTATTTAATTTAATGTTAAAGACAATACATTGGCATTACATTACTAAACATAAATACTTCTTTAAATCTTTTTTTTATGTTGTTGTGTCTAAACAAATGGTCAAACTGTTAAGTAAATCCATGCTAGACAACTCTATTTCCATGAATACAAACTAACAGACTAACATATGTGACACGTACGGAATGTGGGACTGGTTTCCGATTGCATTTATACAGTCCCAATATATACATACATACATATTTACGTATAATATATAAATATGTATGTGTGTTAGTGAAAATGTTTCCAAATAACGTAATTGATTACACTAGCGTACATGATAAATTTGTAAAAAAAAAAAACTTCAGAAGGATCTTAAAATGTAGTGACAAATTTTTATTGATATTCGATTTGAAAGAGCTTTTAGAATTTAAATTTATATTTCAACAATATCTATTTATACTGTCGATAAGCCATCCCAGATAATATATAAATTATTTAAAAACTACCATATCACCCCTCTAAGCTAAATAAGGACAACGAAAAAAAAGGGATTATTGGTTTGTATGTATAAAAATGCATGTATATTTAAAAGTGCCGTTGCGTTGTACCAAATAATACATATGTATGTACATAAATATACATATGTATGTTTTTCACTGAAACAGTTAATTATATTAATGATCATCGTTAAGCTGGTCAAGTTAGTTGCCAAAGCAGTTTTGTGAATTCGTCCGATTAGAAATAGTTAATCCAATCATTAAAATAAATATTTTAAAAATTTAGAAAATGAAACCTGTGTCTCTAAATGTATTTTAATATAAATAACTATATAACAAATTCAGCAACAATTTTAAGTTAAAAATAAAACAAATTTACAAACTATATTTGTAGTTTTATTAATATAAGAATTATTTGTGAAATTTTTGCTTAGTCGTTTACATTTATTTTAGAAACGGTTGCATGTATAGTTGTATGTATGAAGACTTCCCATTGATTTAAATGACTATTACGGCTAAAAATTGCGGGCCAAATACAAGTCGAAATAACTCACAAAACAAGACCAAGTTGAGAAGCCAGTTTTCTGGTTTACTTTAAAACTGTATCTGTAATTCATATATGTATGTATGTGTACAAAATATTTAACTGTGTGAAATGCCTGTACTATGTATGAAGTTGTCTTTGGAGCTTAACGAAATGGAACAGAAAAACTAGTTGACGACAACAGACAAATAAGCTAATAATATTGTTGCTTATTTATTTTTTTGCGAATATAATTGACCACAAGCTTAACTAGAAAATTTCATCTTGCATACTTACAGTTAACACTTATTAAGAATTGTTAAATTAAATTCGGAGAAAGCGCAATAACCTTAATGCTTATTGTACGCACGAGAAATTTCAACATTTTACCGAACATTGGTAAAAATTGCTAAAAAAATATTTTTACTTTATATGGTCGTAAACGCTTCCTTCTACCTGCTTTATACTTTTCAATGAATCTATTATAACCTCTTACTCTACGAGTAACGGGTATAATAATACAACTTTGCAATATTTTTTAATTTGCTTTAATAGGCTTTAGCTTTTTCCAGCAGAATTTCAAAACGAACCATTTTAGAAAATCTGATTTGTAATCGGTATTCCTCCCACATTCTGATGTAAATATTTTACTAGGTTGAAGTAAGGACCATACCGGAATTTTTCTTTTAAACATTGGACACCACAATTTGTAACCATTATAATTACTTTATTAATTCAGTATTTACATCCGTTACATTACAAAAGTTGAATCTATCCGAGACGAGACTTTTCAGAAATGTTTGTAAAAATATGTTCATTTTTTGATTTTGATCGAAAAGAGTTCGTATTTGGTATACAGAAGTTATTCGAAAATATATAATTTGGTTGTATATATTTTATATAACTGACATAGGAACATTCAAATAGAAAAGATAACATGGTTTCATAAATTGCTTTTAATTGGTTATTACTGATAACTAATATAATAATAATAACTACTTTTCCCAATACTTCTTTTGAAGTAAAGAATCCGTTTATATGTTTTGAATCAAGTATGTTTATTAACATGGCTTTAAGTTTTGTTTTATTGTATGTCTTTGGTATGTGGAATATGGAAT